ATATTCATATGTTTTAATAACATATGAATGGGCCAATAAAAACTGAAGATTTAGAAATAAAGGAATCAATTGAGATAATTAAAAAACAATATTGTGGATAAAATAGAAATCAAGTAGTAGCTTTACAAAGTGCATTCACACCTATTAATTCTTTTATCCTGTAACACCCTGGTGAAGTATGTGTTGTCATCATTCCTGTTTTATCATGGAGGCTTGCCTAAGGTCGCACAGCTTTTTATAGCACAGCCAGGAATAGAATGAACTCTTCTGATGCAATATCCCTATGAAACCACCTTTCTTTGCATTTCAGGAACTGGCCTGGACATATATCTGACTGATGACAGTGGTTACAGTATGGTTACAGCTATGATGAGAAATCACTCCTTATCAAAGGCCAGGTTCAGATTAGGTCTTTTCCTGATCATCTCCAATTTTCTGGACTTTTTTTGTTTCATAACTGGTCTTCACAACACTTATCAGAATAATTCCAAAAATAGTGCTTTCATCTATCTATTCATTTGCCCAACCACCCTTTTATTTGCCCATTTATTCACTCATCCAGTAAATAAACTAATTTTCATACATCTTTGCTTATTTTCCTGTAATTCATGGCCACATTATATGTCTTTCTACTCCCCTCCCCTGCCCACCCTCAAACTGTGTATTTCTCATAAAAGAGAAGTGACTGGGCAAGGTGACAGTTGCTCTGTCCATTAGCCATGTGTGATAAATTGCTTATTAATCTCCACAGCATCCCCATGCATACATTGAGAGTGGTTAAAGCATTGTAACTGGAGAATTTCCAATCTTTTATAAATAACCATTAATCTTTCCCTTTTACATTCAGCTTTCCACATCTGTTTCAAATTGTTCAGTACTAGTTCAGGAGTGCATTAAAGCTCCAATCCAGGTAGTATTAAAGGAATAAATGAGGCCCGGGGAAGAGATACTGTATTTTTCTTAAAGCAATTCTTTGTTCTTTTACAAAGTTAGGAACCAAGCAATTTATGATTAAGATTTTTGTAGGATATTCTCTGTCATTTTAAACCTTCCTTGTCTATGGGTTTAAAATGTATTTTTAGCTCTGGTATCCTGGAAAATGTTTTTCTCTATTCAGGTAAATTTTAAGTATATAAGGTAGTTTTAATTTATTATGATTCACTGTGGATTCTTTTTGAAGAAGAATGAGAACTAGAAAAAACCTAAGGTCAGTTAGAAATAAATAAATGCTTAACTATGCATTTATACTTTTGATGTTCAGAATTTCAGAGAAAGTTGTCAGTAATTTTAGTTTGATACATTTTTCTACAGGAAGCAATTTGCTTGTCAGTAAAAAGGTATTATTATTTTATGAATTGTAATTTAATATTTTGCTTTGTATTTGCTTCAATTTACCTAATGACAGTTATAAAAGTGTACCATATTCTCACCATATTCATCTCATAATCTATTTTCTCAGGTACTTTCCAAAGAAAAAATTTTCATAAAATGACCCAACCTGTAATGTTAAATTTCCAAAACTCTCATCACATATACAAAGATGCCCTGCAGAATAAATGCATATAAAGATAGTACCATATGGTATATCAGATGACACATAGTATAAAAGAGGAATATTTTCAAGTTGACCTTGAAGATATTAAGGAACTCACAGAACAAATATCAGACAGAAAGGTTGCTAAAAGATGATTCCCTATCTCTGGCATTTGTAATATGCATTAAAAAAAAAAGATGACAACCTGGTTATCTGACCCAGAATAAAATGCCCACACAGGAATATAAAGGAAGAAATTCAGTTACATGTCTCTCATCAAGGTTAGTACAATCTCATAGATAGATCATCACATTAAGTGAACTAAATCACTGGATCTGAGGATGGTTTATTTCATGGTTACAGCCTGCAATTCCCTGCATATGTAGGGGGTTGGCAGCAGCTCCATCCATTAGTATTAAGAATTACCATTGTGTATCCCACCCACATCCCCCAAGGAAGCAAAGACTTCCTTCCTGCACACTACTTTATTTTGAATTCTCCAAATGTTATGGGATGGCCATTTCCTTAATAAATGAAATAATTGAATATAGCACATGTTATCTGTCATAGCTAAAACTGATGTCTCATAAGAATTTTTAAGGAATTCTAACTTTATTCATCTGTTAAGATAGATTAAATTTTTTCTCCTCTCTCTGTCAATCTAAGGAATGTGTGTGACCATTAAGGAAACGTTAACCTTAACTGCACTCTAGGGCATTTCATCAAGAAAGAAGTAATTTGGGATGACCATTAGTCAGCTTTTCATTGCTATAATGAAAATACCTGGAAAAAAAACAATGTAGATAAATAAAAACCTATTTTGGCTCATTGTTTGAGAGGATTCAGTCCATGGTCTGATGACTCCAAGGCAGAAGCATTAAGGTGAAAAACATGGTGGATGAAAACTGTCGGCTCATGGCAGATGGGAAGTAGAGGGAGTGCAGGGATAAGCCCTTTCAGGGCATGTCCCCAGTAGCTTGCTTCCTTCACCTAGGCCATCCCCCTCAGTAGTCTATTCAGATATCAGTATATCAATTTATCCAGTTTATCCTTGCATCATTATGAACTATTACCCATTTAAATCTCAAAAGGGCCTGGTTTGGATGGAAAATGAAAAAACCACCCCATTTTACAGCATTTCTTACACTGTGGTCCCTTTCTCAACCATCTAGGATGATTTCAGTTCCTATTCATGCCTTTCTTGTGGACCACTTGGTTCTACAAAAGGAGATAGAGGAAAAAAAATTGCCAGTCATACATTTTCCTAAATTATAAAAAATTGTAAACTTCCTCCTACTATTTCACTTTTTGTATCTTCATCCTTCTTTCTCCTCTGTGGCATTGCATTCTCCAACCCATGCTTCTTATATAAAATGTCAGGGACAGGTCATTATTCACTATATGAATATTTTTATATAGAAACCAGCAGCGTAGTGCTTTTACTGGTTGGGGTAAAGATGAAGTGTGTTATAGTTTATTCGTTTCAGTGAAGAGGAAGTTTGGGTCTTAACTACTCAATGACATGGGATAATCAAAATGTAAGATACGTCAGTTCACAAACACTTATTAAATGCCTGCCATGTGTCCTAAATTGGGTAACACAAAAATGACAGACATGTTGTTCTTGATCTCAAAAAACTCATCGTCAAATAATGGAGAAGAACAGGTAGAGCAATTATTACTTGGTCTGCCAAAGTACTACTAGTACTACTAGTTTGCTACCAAAGTACTACTAATTTTTGTGCTACTAAGAGCATATGAAGGTGCAGTGGGAAAACAGGCTTGGGATTAAATCAGGATCTGTAGCTAGGGGATGGTTTTATAGAAGAGATGATAGAGTGGGTAGTCTATTAACTAAGTTTTGAACAGAGTGAAAGTATCCTTCCATACAAGGGTCCTTTTGTTAGTTTTGCTGAAGGAAGTAGATAGTATTACTTGGCCATCTTGTACTGTAACAAAAATATCACCTGAACTCTGCATTCTATAGATTGAGATATTTTGTTGTTTTGATAAGGGAAATTCACAGTTCAATTCTTAAAATAGCCATAATTTTTCAATTTGTTGGTGCACCTCCAAATACAGCTTTAGAAAAAAAAAAGCTTTTACTCTCTGGCCTTTAATCTGCCAAATAGACTTTTTAGTGCATTATCTATCAGAGGTCTTAATAATCATTTTTTAGGAAATATCACTCATTTTTTTTCTCTTCTAAGTGCAATCAATGTGTGGTTCCTACCCACAGACTTGTATATTTTACACTTAGGTGGCATTGTAGTACACTTATATATGAGAGTATGGATGGTCCCCAAATATTATTCTTATTTACTTGTATCTCAGTGTCATGCTTACAATAAAGCACCACAGACCACCCAGCAATACAGTTGAGTGAAAGAAACACTTCATTCCAACTTTATAGTTATTGTGCTTCTTACTGTCACTCCCTTAGTCTCTGTTTCTTCTCCTAATGGTTGCTACCTGCCTTCTGTTGACACTAATTTCTCTGTCTTCTCTACATATTTCCTCCCATGTCAGTTTGCTCCAATGATTTCCTGATTCCTCTCTGTATGATGGTCATTTCTGTCTGTGATCTGTTTGGATGGATTATGGAATCACCCTTACCCCCATCCTTGACATTTCTCCCAGTAATTAACTCACCTACTCTTCTCTTTTCATATCTAATCCTCAAGCAAGTCCCACAGACTCCAGTTAAATAATGTCTTCACCTGATTCTCCTCTTTCAGTCCTCCTTTTCTACCATGGTACCAGTTTCCTAATACTAATCTTATCTGCAAACCCATGTCCAACTAGAAATCATTTTTCACATTGGCACTAGTTTAATTCTTCTAAAATATGCAGCCCCTTTGGTAAAATGCCACCAAGCAATGATAAAGTTAAGATATCATAGAATGACTCTCGCTTCCTTTTAGCTTTATTTTCTATTATACTTAAGCATCACACTGTACAGAGAAGTAGTGCAGAGCTCTGAAATGAGAACACCTGAGTTTGAATTCTGGTTCTGGCACTTGTTAGCTCTGTGATCTTGGCCAAATCATTTACTTCTTGAGTCTCATTTCCCTCCTTTATGATATGGGAATAGTAATTGGACCTAATGTAGAGGACTGTTGTTTGAATTCAAAGAAACACTCAGAGCAGTGTCTATCATATAGCAGGGGTTCAATAAGTATTAGCCATTCTTAGACTCCATCTCTAGATAAGCTTGAGAGATGGAAAGGTAACAGAATTGAATGGTACATTTAAAAATAAATGACCTAAACCCACATGTCAAGTTGAACAATCAAGAAAAAAAATCTCTAATTTTGCTTCTTTTTCTAAGCCATAGTAAATTAATATTTAGGACTGGATATAAGATGTAAGTCCTTCTGAGCATCCTCAGTAACAACAGTATATAAGCAGTGTTATGGAATTATCATTTTGTTCTGAACCCCGGAATTTTTTTTTCATAACTTAGGGTAGAAACTTGGCTTCAGGAGAGGTTGGATTTTTCCCAAGTGATACTGTCAAGCCTTCTCCATGTGTAAGTACTAGTATTTTATTTCTTTATTTCTTTTTTTTAACTTTTGATGCTATGATCAGTTGTGCAGAAATATACAAAGAAAGAATACTGGTCAAGTTGCTCAATAGCTTTATTAATATTTTCTGAAGGGATCTTATTATTTTGAACATCATTTTTTAATCAATTGTCTGAAAATATTTTAAAATGTTAATATATTCAAGAGACAAATTTAGCTAACAAGAATTTACAAAATTAAGTGGTAAGGTCTAAGCTATTCCCACACACTTGTGCTACAGGAAGAATTTACATTCAGTTGATATACTGGAAAGCATGCTAGGAAGTGAAAAGTAACAAATTCTTTAATCAAATCTCTAAATACATTTTTATACTTTAATGTGTCATTATTATTTATGTAATATCATAATGATTTTTTCTAAATACATCAAATACAAATAAAAAAAGAATGAATGACTACTAAAATAATGTAGGTGAATATAACTAAAATGTACTCTCATGATTTATGATATTGATAAATTTTTATTTGGGGTGATATGATTTTAATATCTTAATTTGACATTTAGGGTGGAAATTTCCACAAATTTTTTTGAAGTTATTGAGTCCAAAGTAAATGAATTTTTTTTACTAATATGGTAGAGATGATTTTTTGAAAAAAGAAAACCCTGAAAACTCTTCTTTTTAAAATATTTTTTAGTTGTTGATGGACCTTTGTGTTTTGTTTTTTATTTGTATGTGGTGCTGAGAATCATACCCAGTGTCTCACACATGCTAGGCAAGCACACTATCACTAAGCCACAACCCCAGCTCCTCAAAACTCTTCTTAAACTTTCTTTCTTGCTATATTTAAATTGTGTCTGTGTTTCTAAATTGGACATTATTTTTAATATTACAAATGTGAGGAGCACACCTGTGAACTCAGCGGCTCTGGAGGCTAAAGCAGGAGGATTGTCAGTTCAAAGCCAGCCTCCGAAATCAATGAAGCTTTAAGTAACTTAGTGATACCCTTTCTCAAAATAAAACTTTTTTTTTCCCAAAAAAGCTGAGATGTGGCTCAGTGGCTTGGCATCCCTGGGTTCAACTCCCAGTATCAATAAAAGAAATAAAAATAAAAACAAAAAGTGTCTGCTACCCTTGATTTCAGAAGGTAGTCTATAAGATAATTTACTACATTCATTTAGGCTCAATTACTTAAAAAAATAAATAAGCATTTCTTATTCTTTTGTTTCTATGATCTAATGTCACATATAAAAACTTTTTAAGATTATGTTATAATGTTGAATGATTGTTGAAGTTTGATACTTCTCTTATTTACTTAGATAAGTAACAATGATTGTTTAGCTAGTTTTCTGTCATTTGAATGAGAGAGATTCAGGCTTCCTACCTGTAAAGCAGTGATGTGTATCCATAGGCGTGTAGCAAGAGATAATGTATGGTAATATTAAGATATTTTGGGATCTGGAGGCATCAAATCAAGAATATTAACCATTTCATGTAACAAATGCTATCATCTGTTTATGACATCTTGAATATAGTACAAAATGAGCATTTTAAGTTTTATTTTAGAGATGGTTTTACATGAAATGGGCTTTCAAAAATAATTGTTGAATGAATGAACAAAGGAGTAAAAGGCAAAGGCCACTCCCTGGCTATACATAGCCAGTTAATAATGCTAGATAACAACAGTATATGGAAGCAAGAAGAGTTTCTACCTTGGAAAAATATTAAGTAGCTCCAATTGTGCCAGTCCTCTTACAGGTAACAGCTGTAAAATATGAACAAAATATAAAAACAAAACAAAATGTCTGAAGGCACTGACTAGGAGAATTGCCTCTTGGAAAAGGGAATGATATCCAAGTTTTATGATAGCTTGAGGGCAAGGACTAGGTTGTGGAATTCAACTAGGTTAAAATTCAGTTAGAAACCTTAGGGTATCTCCAACTTGAAGAACCAAGTCTGGAGTTTAAAACAACCACAACAGCTGGAGAGGGAGATAAGAAATGTTAGAAAGGAATGAGACAAGAGATGGACAACCTCAAATTCTGTGTATAAATTCTGCCTAAGTCTCTGAGTGATGAAGATTCTAAACAGCACAGTTTTATATTCGCTATTTAAACATCACAGCTATATTCTATAGTTTACTACAACTGAAGGTAACAGTATTTTTGATCACTCTATATGACAAAACCCCGGAATACCATGGGATATATATGTCAAAGACTCAGATCATTCATGAAACTTTTCTGAACACAAGACTACCTATGCTTCCACCTTTTCTCAGGAACTTATAGATGTGTCTCCTCTCTATAGAATGGATTTTGTTATTTTATGAATATTTGTTTACCTTCTCTGGCTTTATTCATTTTCTAGTTGCCTTCAGCTGCTAAAAGAACATTTTTTTAAAATTAGAATGGAATATGTAAGACTTTTCTCTTTAGTGAAGCTCTATCTGAGAAAAGGGGGAAATGGATATTTTCCATGATATTTTCCCAAATAAAAGTTTTCCACTTGGTAGACTTTAAAATCAGAGTTTAGAATTTGTTAAATAATAGATTCTTTATCCAGTGTTTATTATTTATTTTGCATGTTTTCTTAATGTGAAACCGAAGTGCTATTTGATTTCCTTAGTAACATTCTCATTTTAGTTTTCTATGATAGGATTAAATTGCCTCGATAATAAATATTGAAAGTTTTTAGTTCATATTTTCCTGCTATCTCTCCCCTTGGAGGTACAGCAGCAATAAAATGAATGAAAGAATGAATTAAAGTGAAATGAATTATTTTCTACTTATTTGACATATACTATGATTCATTCTGTATAAAATTGCCAATGGATAGTTCTAGGGCTGTACTACTTAGGGTTTTATAGAGCTGAGTCAGCTGAACTGAATTAATGATTGATTTCTAAAAGCTTCCCTTAAGTAAACTTAATCTATTTTTGCCTTTTTATATCCTAGGTACCCAAACCAGTAGATTATTCTTGCCAACCTTGGTAAGTATTAAAAATGTTTATGTAGCTAAGTTGAAATACCATACCCTTACCTTGAGGATGCCTTAAATGTGGGGGTAGTAAACCATGTTCCATTTCCATTTGTCCTCGCTAAAGGTATTTTCAGATGTAACAAAACATCATAATGAATCCATATATTGCTGGCCTTTCTGTATCTTTATCAGAGAGTGGTGTGTGTATGTGTGTGTGTGTGCATGTGCGCGCACATGAATGCACTAGACTGTGAATGAAAAGTTTATAACAGCCACAAGAAAGAATGGGGCATAGGTAAATATGTGTCTTGTATTTTAGAAAGATAGATTTCATGAGGCAGAGAGAAAAATATGAATCATTTGAGTATGAAACTAAGAATTAGCTCAAAAAGAATAGTAGAGTCTAAAAATACAATTTGCAATATATAGGAGCAGTAAATATAGCCACATATCTTTGGGTGTAGATAGGTGACATACTTACCACTTGGAGGCTGGCAATATAATTAGCAGAACCGAGGATTAACAGTAATTACTTTTTAGATATCTTAAATGTAAAAAATATATTTAGGATCTGGAATAGTTATAATTGTCATCATAACAATTAATATGTACTGAGTACTTAGTATGTGCTTTATATTTTGCATGTTTTATTTCATCTTGTTTTTCTAACATTCATATGAGGAAGATTATTATTTTTATTGTTATGGATGAAAAAAGAAAGGTTAGGGCCATGCAGTGAGTGAGTGGTAGAGGCAGGAATCCAGGTTATACCGTCTGCACATTGCTATACAGCCTCTCAAAATACAAAACATGAGCATAGTATTCATTTGCATTTGTTTCTCTGAATGTTTTTTGACTCCTCTTAAAATGACTGAATATGTTTTCTCTTTCCTGATGTTTAAGTATGTGCATATAAATGAGAGATCAGGGTACATACAGAAATGAGATATCCTGAGATTGTGTAGTCCTAATTCACTTTGCAAGTGTAGACACCACCTGAGTTGTCTGATATTTTTTAAACCTTCTGGTTACTTTCTGTGCTGTAAGTAAAATGGGAGATGCCAGTCTGCTTTGCAATGCCTAGGAATCCATTGCCCAAGGTATAGGATTCTTCCCCTCCCTCATGCCCTCTGCCTCTTTCAGCAGCCACTTCTGCCTTCTGAGTCATTATCTGCCTTCTCTGCTGTACCCTCTGAGCCTCAGCACAGAGCTTGCTGAAAGTATTGGAGGTTTTCTGATAGAACTGGGAAAGTCATTTTTGCCTGACTTAAGACAATTTCTAGGTCTTAGTTTTTGTGGAATTGAAAACTATAGTCCTGACAAGAATTAAATTTGGACATTACAGCTAATAGCATGGACAAACTGAAAAACATCAGGATCAGATACAAATCATGGCAGTATTATGATTGAAGTCCTTCTTTTTCCTCCTCCCACTTTTCATGTAACTAGGTATTATTGTTACAGGGCCATACCTGAGAGATAAATACTAATGCTGCAGATTACAGACATTTTATGAAACAAGCTTAATCTTGTATTTGGGAATGAATCAGGACTCTTTGTTTTAAAATGCACCCTTGCCAATACATAAAATTCTATTGAAAATATGACTGGTTAGAATAGTACTATTCCTTATGATAAAAAATCAAGATATTCAGACAAAGAGAGAGCCTTAAAATAGGAAGAAATAAAGATATTTCGTAGTAGAATTTAAAATTACTTTCCTCCCCTCTCTTGAGCAACCTAGACAGTTTATTCAAACTAAGCAGGCAGTTTTGTGTGAAATGTCTTCTGCTAGGGAACAAAATGATCAACCACACCAGAAAATGGAACCTTCAATTTTAGAAATACTAAACTGTTTAGAGAAAATTACACTGAATGATAGCATGGTAGTTCTCAAGTCACTGAGACGTTGAATACTACCAACTGTATTACGTGCTCATTATTTCCACATTTAAAGGAGGTTGTTCGCACAAGGTAACTTTTGTCTCTTATATAGGCCATGAAATAAAATGGAAAATCAAGGCGATTATCTTCAATAATCTATGTTTTAGGGTGTCAAAAAGCAAAGACGAGTCATGGGCCTAGAAACTGGAGAATTACTTGAAAATCTTCATGTAGAACAGGAGATAAATACCAAGGTTCCTACTCTATTTTCATAAATGTGGGCCTTAGGAGTGATACAATCCACGTGTCCACTTGGAGGAAGCTGAAGGATGAGCTATGAAGCCAAGGAAGAGGCATATTCAGAATCCAGGAAAGGAAAGCAAGGGAAGTCTCAAGACCACAGACATTCAGCAGGGTTAGAGAAGAAGCAAGAGATTGGAAATGTTCAAAAGAAGTCACTCCAGAGGGGGGAAAAAATCAAAAGAGACAGTGTGAAGCATTGAAAATGTATTATTCAGGAGTTTATTTGAAGAATTTGGAAAGAATTTGTAATAGACATAAAGAATCAACCACAGAGCCACATTCCCAGCCATTTTTAAAATATTTTATTTAGAGACAGGGTCTTGCTAAGTCACTGAGGCTGGCTTTGAACTTGTAATCCTCTTGCCTCAGCCTCCCGAGCTGCTAGGATCATAGGTGTGCACCATGTGCCCAGCTTACATAAAATATCTTGAGAAAACAAAAAATGAAGTCTTATGTGATAACCTGGTAAAACTAGGTCAGATGACAGCTCAGGTTTGTAGAGGTTACAGAAAGAGCAAAGAGAAGCATCATGAAGAAAGGCAAGCATTGGGCACTGGGGAAAATTACATTCCTTCATTACGCTTAAGATGACATGTAGTAAATTGTAGTATGAGCATGTTATTTAAAAATATGCAAGTAGAAATAAGGAAAAAATTTTAAATTCTTTGAACTGATGCTCAGAGCAGGATGTTTGATGGAGTACTTCTCCTTTTCATTATGTTCTTATAGCCTAAGTTACCTTTTAAATTGTTTTTGTATCACTTTGATAAAAATGCATTCATCAGCTGGATGTTGCTGAGGTGTAGTGGCACACACCTGTAATCCCAGCAGCATGGGAGGCTGAGACAGGAGGATCCTGAGTTCAAAGCTAGCCTCTGCAAAAAGCAAGGTGCTAAGCAACTCAGTGAGACTCTGTCTTTAAATAAAATACAAAAAAAAAAACAGGATTAGGGATGTAGTCAAGTGCCCTTGAGTTAAATCCCCATTACCCACACACCCCAAAACGCATTCATTGCTACTAATTATGATATGTGCTATGAAAATAGGGGTACTGTAATGAGAATAATGGAGTGGAGGGTACAAAATGTAGGATGACTTTCTTTAGATGGGATGCTCAGGAAAACCTCACTCTCTAAACCTGAAGGAATTATGTTGCTGGAGGGTATCTTTCCAGACAAAGATCACAGTCTTCCAGGAGACTAATTAAAAAGGAGCTTGATGAATTCTTGGAGCTGAAAGAAGGCCAGAGACAGAGATAAAGGGTGTGGTAAGAGATAAGGTTGAAGAGATAGGCATGAATCATATCACATCAGGTCCTAGAGTTCATGGATTGTTATAACTCAAGTTACTACAGCATAAAATGCCTTCAGGTCCCTTTGTATTTGATGGAAACCTAACATGCCCTCCCTCAATATACTTTTGTTGAATGCCTATATGCATATAAAATAAATAATTAGTGTAGATTACATTTGGATATTTATAGTTATATGAATTTATGTGTAAATCAGAGAATTTTCTGGACTATTAAGCCATAAAGAGCTTTGAAAGAGAACAAAACTAAACAAAAGCTTTTTTTCTTTAATTTCTATTGCCCAAAATCTCTGATCTATTTTTCCAGTCAATGTAACACCTATATTTGAAGTAAGGGGGTCATTCAAGGTCATTCAAGAATATTTTAACATTATATTTGGGGCTTTTATTATGATAGTTTTTATTATTATAGAGTTTGGTTATGTTAAAGGCCCACAATCTGGGGGAAATTGAATTCTGAGTTTGAAAACTATCTAACTTTTAAAAGTAAGTGTTACTTATTATTATAAATTTCTTAAGAAAATTAGTTATCAAAATTTTGGACTGAAGATGCTCAAAAGAGATTTCATAGTGTATATACAAAAGGTGAAAAGAACATGCGTATGCATGTGTGTGTGTGTGTGTGTGTGTGTGTGTGTGTGTGTGTGTGTGTGTTTGTGTGTTTCTTCTGTAGGGCAAGTCTTTTTCCACTTGTCCCTAAACTTTCCACATCTGTCTTTGTGACTCAATGCCTACTGGATCCTCTTTTTATGTATCTCATAAATATTTACTGAGTGCTTACTGTGTATTGTTCACTTTGCTGTGGTTAGCTTCGTAGAACATTTGTGTTTTGACATATTAAAGGGCTTTTCCAAATTATTTTGAAGCAATGTAATTCATATGGAAGTAAGAACAGATCAGATCTGCTACTAAATTAAAATCCTGACAGATCCATATTTTTAGCCTCTGTTCCCTTTCAGTTACATTATCCAAATTTTCCATTTCATTGTTTCTTACAGGTATGCTGGAGCAATGGAAAGATTGCAGGCAGAGACTGAACTTATTAATAGGGTAAATAGTACTTACCTTGTGAGGCACAGGACCAAAGAGTCAGGAGAATATGCAATTAGCATTAAGTAAGTAGGACAAGTACTTTTACAGAAATAGATTTCCTGTTTTCATAATTGCATAGACCATCTGACATGTATAACACTGAAGTTGAAAACCAAGGTTCTAATTGCAGCAGAAATAATGCATCTATTCAGACAGTTCATTAATACTTGAAAATATCTGTTAGAAAACAATAATAAGTGTTATAGGCTGCTAATTGGCATATTAGATTTCTTTCATAACATTATATTTTGTTGACTTGATATGTGTATATTTCTAATAAATTCTAAGTATATTTTAGGTTTTGTCTTATTTTTTTCTGCTTCTCAAACTTAACTTTGTAAATTAAGTATAATCATTAGTCAAGTCCACCCCCACCATTCCTTCAAATATTGGTCGTATCTTCAACCAATCTAGTAAATATATTTTGTTAATTAGCTGTCACCATTGTATTGGCATAGTTATATATTTTGTCTTCGGAATTAATTCTTATAATGTTATTGGGGCATGCCCTCTGGTAATTATTGATTTTTACTGATTAAAAACACATTTATATTCATAAGTTATTCATTGCCCATAGGTATAATAATGAAGCAAAGCACATCAAGATTTTAACAAGAGATGGCTTTTTTCACATTGCAGAAAATAGAAAATTTAAAAGTTTAATGGTAAGCATCGATTATTTCTTTTCAATCTTTGATCCCTATTTTTCTGTTGTTAGAAAGGTCAGTTTAATTCTATAGTTTCTTGGAAATTTTGCTCACCGGAAATTATTTAAAGAGAATCATAGTATAGTTTTGTAGCAGAATTCTAAAATGTCTGACTTCAGGAACTCCAATGAAGTTTTGTAAAAAATTGTTCAATGTGGATTTATCTCTTTTTTATTTATTTTTTAGTTGTAGTTGTCAATACCTTTATTTTATTTATTTATTTTTATGTGGTGCTGAGGATTGAACCCAGGGCCTCCCACAAGCTAGGCGAGTGCTCTTCCACTGAGCCACAACCCTAGCCCAAAATTGTTTATACTATATTTTTCACTGTCATCTAAGTTTGCAAGTTTGGAATGGTATTTTAGAGTCTATACCAGTTATGACTCAACAGCAAATTCAAGTATCAACCTTCAGTTTTTAGTGTGGGTTTCAGTGTGTGTTTGAATGACTTGCAGCAAACTTTTAATATGTTCTTCCTCCCTCTTCTTCCTTCCTTTGCCTCTATTTCCTCATTCACCAAAAGAATATTATAAGTTATGAAACAAAGAGTTGTAATTAAGTAATTAAGTTCATTTCAGACAAGATGTAAAGTCAACTGGAAACTTCTGTGTGTGTATTTTCAACCAATTTTGGGCTAGGGTTATGGCTCAGTGGAAGAGCACTCACCAAGCTCGTCTCGGGAGGCCCTGGGTTCAATCCTCAGCACCACATAAAAATAAATAAATAAAATAAAGGTATTGACAACTACAACTAATCTATATTTTCTGTTCAGTGGCTCTCATTATCTTGGACAATTAAATATTAATATGGTAATACTTTTTTACAATACAATTGATATTTTATAGGAATACATATATCCTAAATATATTTAAATAGAAATAGTATATTGTCAAATTACTTCAGATCAGCAAGGATTATTTGATTAATTCATACATTTTTTTAAAATATATAATTTAATAATTTTATTAGCATATAATAATACTTATTATGTATGTAATATATAATGCATATATATCATTATTTATATATTGCTAACAGTAAATAAATGTTCATCTTTCTTAAAAATGGTATCAAGTCTGTTTCTAAGTCTGGTAGTTTCTTAAGAAAATGAACAATTTGGATATAGAACATAAGGTGCATCTGTACCTACTAAGAACCTTCAGTGATATTGAGAAGTATCACTCATTGACTAAACCATCCATCAAATGATACATACTACATCTTTCTGGAAAACATCAGAAAGTACTTTGTAGATGTTAAAAGTAAAACTGAATGTAAGTGGGGCTGACAAAAGAGGCCAACTTGAATGCCTTAGTTGAAAATTTAAACTAGCTTTATGACAATGACCAGAATTTTAAAGAATTTGAAACATTTAAGTTGAAAGAAAAAGAAGCCATCCTCTATGGTCATAAATATCACATATCAAATTCAGAAGCTAAGAATGAGCAACATGGCCGTGTCCTGGAAATGCAAATTCTGTCAAATTGGTAACCGAGATCCAGGCAACCTCCCTGCCAGAGTAACTTACGTTCCATTGGAGCAAGCAAGCTGTGCAGAGAGAACTGGAACAGCGGAGGTTCTTCATAAGATGAAAACCTAGGAAGGAGGTGGCAAGTGGATGCACAAATAACGAAGGACAGACACAGCTGAGACATGATGAAAGCATGCACAGGGCTCTCCACATCTCTGCAAGACATGCCAGTGTGAACTTCCACCTGCAGAACTTCCTTGGATGGTAATGAGGCTGCTCCACAGTATTATAGTTCATATGGCCCTTAAAAAAGATGCTGCAGGGCGAAAGATGACTTCCAGCCTTCCACACTTTGGAAGCAGCGAAAGGAACTCCCATCAGAGGAAAGGAGCAAAGAGGATGAAAGGAATAGCCACTGGAAAGGGCCAGTCAATTTAGCTTTGCATCACCTTGGTTCAGCTTTAGGAACTTCTTCAGTGATGAAGGTCAGTTGTGAAAAGCCGGTAACCCCACAGCCACCTGGATGGGTAGAGAGATCCCTGAGTTCTTATCTACATGTAAAGCTGTGATTATAGAAAAAACAATCATGACCTGACTTCAGATCATTGATACTAGTGAGCATTAAAGTTTTTGCCTCAGTGTTCTGGAAAAGGAATTAAGAATATTTGTCTTTGAGCTGAGATAAACTACTCTTATAAAACAAATCTCAGAAATGCTATTGTTAGAGACACATGCATGTATTTTTTCCCCCTTTATATCTGGGGATCTTTTGCAGAGAAGCACATTTCACAGTGGATTCAAGGGAGAGGGAAATTAAACAAAGCTACAAGTGAGGCTAAAAACTAGTAAGAAGATGTAATTGTGAAAAGTTAAGAAAGGCTAAGGAGCTGAAAAGTTTAAGTATCAAAAAAGTCCTTTGGCAAGTGTAACAAATAAGCATGAAAATTGCTGAAGAGGCGCCTGAACTAGGTTGCAGATCTCCCTTTCTTTCTGTTTCTGTTCATTCATTGAGCAAATTTATACTGAGCCTTTTCTATGTGAAATCACTGTGGTTTTGGAGAATTAAAAAATGACTTATCTTATCTAAAAAAAGCTTACAGGTTAGTAAATACATTTGTACCCAGAACCTCACAATAGTACTATCTTTTGGACCTATGCTGGGAAATTGGGGATACTGGGTCAGAAGGGGTGGCTCAATCCCTCTGGAAGAAGAGGTTAAGAGGTATGGGGGCTTCTTAAAAATCACAATCATCTCACCTCTGAGAGATCCCTCTAATCATGTTCATTCCAAATAATGCACTTTGCATTACATGTTAAGAAGTGGTCTGAAGCTTTGAGTTGTTTCTTAAGAATAGTTCAGCGTTCCATTGTCACTGGTGTTAAAGTTAAGTTCTACCTATGAATCACAACAGGGCCTGGAAGTAAATTTTATTTGGAAACACAAAGCAGACTCTGGAGCTTATTTTAAATCATCCAGTTCCTCAAAAAGAAGGGTGGCCTTAGGTGGTTGGGACCAAACCTTTTCCCCTTGGGTTTCAATAGCTTGGTTAATCAAAATCTTTGTGTTTCTTAGTCATTAAATTCAAATCCTAAAAGAATTTCTGTATCCAGATTACAAGGCATTAATTTTGTTCTAATTTTCATGTATGCCAGACCATCCATGTCCAAATGCTGTTTATAAACCATCTCCATTGCCTGTTTCCTTGGTAATTGCAATGACTGGCTCTCATTATTTTTTCAGAGAGACTTGAATTGTTGACACTGCTGTGTCAGTGTGAGATAAGGAAAGCTTAGCGATTTCTTTTGTTTAGAGTTGCCTTATTTACTTGTTGTACCTGAAGGTCAATGACTGCAAAAGCAGGGGTGGATTAGACTAAAATACAGAAAGCATAAAGGCACAGATTGGAAAAGATCCATGGTGGCACTACTTAATTCTGCTCAGAGACATGTAGGAAGATTTACCCTCATAAGACTGTGAAAATGGAACGAAAATATCTTCTATGCTTAGCGAAGTGTTAAAGAGTGTCTTGAAGCTTACTAAGCTGCATGACCCCAAGCCTTGGAAAAGTCATTTTTTTCTTCTGTAAAGTTTGGAGGGAGGGAGGAGCATTAAATGATTACCAAATCCCTTTTTCAGTATATAATTCTATAGTTCCTAGCCAACTTTTTATGAATATTAGTTAATAGTAATTCATAACAGAATACATAGAATTCATATCACTGCCAATGAGATCAAATGATAGTTCAAAGCTATTGTCTTATTATTCTTTTCAGGTTTATTTTCATAATGCCAATATTTGACTCAATCTAAAGACTAAGAGAACACCTCTCTGGTATCATTTGCATCAGCAACATAATATATAGAAGTACTATTCTTCAAGAAATCTTTTTTAAAAGACAAATTATTCTTTGTCTTTAAAACAATTTATAGAAATATTCATCACTAAGTTGAATTTAATTCCTGATGTAGCCTTAGCAAACTGCATTAAAAATCACCACAATACAAATGCCATATTCTGATGGTTGGAAGTATTTTGAAGATACAGACTAGTCTCTGTTGCTTTGTTTCTTTTTCTCTATCTTTAAAGATTGGTCAGATTCCACAATTCTTTTTTTCATCAAGCACACTCATTATCTGGGCCAAAGGAAGGAAGAAGGTTAAAGAAGTTAAGAAAGTTATCATGTGCGTTAGACCCTAGCATCTGAGAAAGCAAAGTTTGTGGTACATTATGGACTCTTAATAAATACCACTTCCCTTTGCTTCCCCATTTTTTGATTTTTATATTTACATTTGCCATGTACTATTTGCTAATAATGTGATGTAGTTAAAAGCTCAAACTTTGGAGACAGACACCAGTTTTGTGACCTTACACAAATCAGTTAGCCTCTCTGAGATATGAGCCTCAGTGGGGATGAGGCCCACCTCATAAGGTTCTTGAGTGAAGATTACAAGGGAGCCTGTGAGGGCCTGGCTCATGGGATAGTGGCAGCTGTTATAATTATCCACACGTATCAGGCACTGTATGTATTTTTCCTTATAGCCTGTGAAATGGTTTGTTATCTCCATTTTATAGGAATAAGGATTGAAAAAAGTCTCCATTTACTTTATCCAGCGCTTTTTCTTTATGAAGGTGTTTGTTTGTTTGTTTGTTTTTTACTTTATCACCTTGGTGTGTCTCTCAGCCTGGCTCTTCCACATAAAACGATCCTTCCCCATTTATGTCTGTTGAAATTTTACTTGGTCTTCAGTTTAATCTAAGGTGTCTCCATCCTGAAGCCTTCTCTCATCCTCCTCATTGGACATACCACAAGAAGTTCTCTCTGTGCCTTTGAGTTCCCACAATCCTTCCATTTTCCCTCTAGGAAGAGACTCCTAGAGAGTGGAGCCTTGTCTTTATAATCTCTGTGACCCCTGATACTCCCAGCACAGAGAAGTCCACAACATACCTGAGTTTAGTCATAAATAATAAATCACTGATGATTCTCTCTTTCTTCTTTTGGGTGTTTTTTGGCCTAATTGATTTGTTTTAGGAACTTTGAACATAACTGCTGAATGGAATTATTGAGTCAATGAACAGTGTGATTTTTTTTTTTAGAAGAAATGAGATTCTTTTCCACTAATTTTTAAAGGTGCTATAATACAAGCACCAAATAATTGGGTTAAGAGTGAATTTGCTTTTATTTTCATTTTATATATTTGTAAAAAGCTTTATAATACTCATCTAATGATAAGGTACATTTCCCATTATGAATTAATTATTATTCAATTTTGGTTTATATTAGAGGGATTAAGATTTGTGCAGAATTTATGAAACCAACATGTAAAAAGAAATTTCCTGAAGTTTTAGTCTGAAAAATGGTGAATGATTATGACATTGGAATTAGATATATTTAAGGCAAATTATTCATAAATGAAAATTAGACAAACTATATTGTTCACCCCTGTGAGTATACTAGGTGATATATAGAGCTAAAATGGGTACCAACACTTTGTTATAAACCAGAAACACTGTCCAGTAGCATTTTTGCATTATCAACTTTTGTTTACCATGGAAAAATACATTTAGTGTCAAGTGTGTTTTTTGCCATGTTGAAAGAAAATGCAGGAAACTAGAAATTGCTATATATTAAGCAAGCAGCTGTTCCGTTTATTTTTATTTAGGAAGGCAAGTATTTCATGAATAAGAACAATAATTACTACTCTGAAATGGAGGTTTGGTATGATTTCTTTTCATTTACCACATCTGACTCAAGACTAACAAGATATTCTATATCCATGAAGACCAATAGAGGCTAAGTCTTACGATAAATGTCCTGAGTAACAAGGACAACTCCCAGGTAGGTTTGTATACATCCAGACAGTGGCAAAAGATCATCATTCACTCACTTGTCCATATATGGAGAACTTAGCCTTAAGTTGATCATCCTTATATAATTATGTGTTCAGGAGTTTGTGTGTTTGAGAACAAATGCATCTTTATAAAAAATAAATCTTTGATTCGTTTCCAGGAACTTGTGGAGTACTACAAGCATCATTCTCTTAAAGAAGGGTTCAGAACCTTAGATACGACTCTACAGTTTCCATACAAGGAGCCAGAACATTCAGCTGGACAGAGGGGTAATAGAGCAGGCAACAGCTGTGAGTATTATAATTGAGAATACGATTTGCTGTCACTTAAGGGTTGGAGGCAAAATAGCATTGAACATCTTCATTCCAAACTTTGAAATATAACCAATTAATATGCTAATGCAATGAGCAAGGACTTTTTTCTGGAGCTAAGCAGAATCAGAGGGACCAACAGGTTTATGTACATGTCTAGTTTTAGGTCCTTGTGCCAAATTCAAAATTATGTTTGCATTAAAATACCAAAATGTAAGGGTATGTTAATGTGTAAAGTTTTATGCTATTCTCTTTTATATTAGCCAGACTTTTAATTTACACTTAATATTGGTGGCCATAATGCTGTTTGAGGAATAGTATTTAATAAAATTGGTTTACAGCTCTCCCCATCTAGTATCTCCTGTGTGCTTATGGTCCCATTGCAAAGACTACCTTCAGGATATTGAAATGGCTAGTATATTTTGTTAGCTGGAAGTATTTCTAAAACTACATTTCAGTTACTATTTTCAGAATCAGCATCTGCCACAACTAGCTACAAAAGATTAGCATGCAAACAGAAACCTGTCATGTTTTAAACGTGAGACCTTGACAAAACTTTTTCCCCCTCACTGTTTAATGTGACATAATCTTCCTGGAGATAGATATGGCATGTAAAGAGAACTTTGTGATGAAAAATGTGGAGAAGAAAGTGTGCTTTCTGGCCCTTATTTTGATATGATTTTTTTAAAAAAAATAAATCTGTTTTAAGGGAAAAATGAAAACAATTTTATTACTCTTAGAATCTTTAGCCTAAGCAAAACTAGAAGTTCTAGGGGTACTTGAAAACAGAATTTTCAGCTGTTTAATATAATTTTAACTTTATTTTTTCCCCTAAAAGCAGACACTAAAAGGGAAACAGGTATACTCAGGGTTTCAACAATGTCAGTAAAATTTCATACACTTCAATATAAGTAAATATGCAAGTAATTTGTCACATCAGCTGACAGGCTTTTTCTTATTTGAATAGCTCAATAGCTGTTTTCCCTGCAGTGATCAGCAACACATGCTCAACACTAAACAGTGAAAGTAGTAAGAACACACTTTATATTGAAACTTTAAATACCTTTAAAATTTTATCTATTTTTTAGCCCAATATGACTCAACTTATCTTAGATTATCATACAGTCTATAACTTTTACTCATTGAAAAATGGAAGTTTCCTCTAAAGAAAACAGCTTTTCTACAAATTTCCTTGAAGTCTGTCAAGGTTCTGACATCTCCCTGCTGCATAAAAGAGAATTTTCCATGTTTTTTTTTCCCCCCTCTTTGCCTTTCTAGCAGCAGACATAATACAACTCACAGAGGAGGTCAGTTTCACCCAGTCCTATCTGAGTTGTTCACTCAGTTCTAGAGCCCCAGGGGTGAGAGGTGGGCAACCAGGGAGGACTTATTAGTCTTAGGAAGGCTGTTAACCTGTGTCTGTCTGGTCCACTGCAGGCCCTTTGTCAGAGCTTGGCACATGCTTAGGATCAGAGAACGTTGTCCAGCAATGACGTTGCCTAACTTCATAATTTTGTCTTTAGTGTTTAATGGGAGTATTTAGTACTCAAACTTGTTTAGCAGCCAGGAAAGGAATTACAGACTGTATTGTTCTTTTTTATTTTTAACCGTAGCCAAAAGAATAAATTTGAATATGCATACTAGCTTACAGAGCCATTTTCCAAAAATGAGTATGAGTTCAAACATCTGTACCCTATCTTTTCAGCAACTTAAGCCACTAAAACACTTTTTTGATTAAGAAAGGAAGGCAAGCCACTCATTTAAAATTTAATGTAAGTTAAATATAAAACTATTGATGAATAAAACCAAATATAATCCAAAAAGTCTTTAGAGAGACTGACAAATAAAATACCTTACACAGACAAGGCATTGTTCTGGTCCTGGGATATAGCAGTTAAAAAGTGAGAAGTCCTTGCCTTTATGGGGCTTAGCTTTTGATGGGGAAACTCAGGAAAGTCTGGGTTAGGGGAATTAGATTTTTTTTCTTTTTATCATAAGAAGTAATTCACTTCAGGTGTGATGGTACATGCCTATAATCCTAGCAGCTCTGGAGGCTGAGGCAGGATCACAAGTTCAAAGCCAGCTTCAACAACTTAGTTAGGCCTTCAGAAACTCAGCAAGACCCTGTCTCAGAATAAACATTTTTAAAAGGGTTGGGGATGTGGCATAGTAGTTAAGTGCCCCTGAGTTCAATCCCTGGTAATATTAAAAAAAAAAAAAAAGTGGAGTGATTCAAGAAGATATCACTCCTTCACTCCTTCTGAAAGAAATGAAGGCATAAACTAGTCAGCAACAATAAAGCATAGTTAACTCTCCAAGATTATTCATTCATGAACATAAAACAAAATTATAATTTTAGATCAAACTCATGATACTATCCCAATTTTTTATTTATTTTATAATCACTCTATGTTAAATGGGAAGATCACTAAGATGGTCCTGAGGATTCAATGAGGTATTTCATGTGGAGCATTTAGCATAGTGCCCATACATGGTATACATCCTATAGAAGTTATCACTGACTCTACCACCTACTTCTGCCACTACTGTTACTCAGCCTTCTGATGCATTATGTGCTTCTGTACATTTCTAAGGCTTGCATAAATTTACGAATTGTAATTCTTGGAACAATTTACTTCTTTACTTTTACGATTTTAAAATATATGTCTTACTCACTTTATACCAAGTCTTGATTCAGGGTTAACCTTTAATGCAAACACTACTTATGTTTTCATGCTTGTTGTGCCAGGAGGTGTCAAGGAGAAAATGTTACAATTTCTATATAGAAAGACTATGCAGGCTATCTTTATAGTGCTTACCTATTATTCTATCTTTAAGTCATATAATCATCTTGGAAAAGAAGTCTCAGGGCAGTATAGAGGCTATTTACTTCTGAGTTGGTCAAGATTAGCATTTTTTTGAAACAATTTTGTGGTGTAAAATTAGATATTATGATGGAACTACCTTATACACATGAAAAATAATGTGTAAATAGATATTTATTAGAATTAAACAAGCATCCAGAGTACTGAAAAGGAGTATAGCATTTCTACGTTAGCAGCCTATTACAGGCTGACTGTGTCTCAGGATATAGGATGTTTTTCTTGACCTTTGGAATGACTTAAGAGTATTTCCAAAAGCGAAGAAAAGAACAAAAATGGAACCCAGTGAGCTTCTGTACTTCCCTAGATTCTATAGTAGCTCCACAGAAGATATTCTATGAATTTTTGGAAGAAGTTTGTTATTTTCGAAAAGGGTCCTAGCAAATCTGCCTTAGATTGCTTTAGGTGAATGTATAGGGCTTATATATTCAAAGGACAATATATTGACATTTGCCTTTCTTGCTCTTCAGTGAACACTTTATTTTCAGGTCTGCTTTGAAGTGTCTACCTGCCTGATCTTAGGCAAGTCAGTTAGCCAGTTGGGTCTTAAGTTTCCTATCCAATAAATGAGGAATGAGATTAGAGATTTTATTATGTTCTTTGACAAATTTACTTCTAAATGGTTCCTTTCTTCATATGCACAAGAGAAGAAGGTAACGTATAATATTAATAGACCATTAGAGAAGGAAAAGTTGCACACTAAGCTGTTTTGTGACCCAAAAGCACATCTTAACTATTTTCCCAAGTTTATATTTATGCAAAAGTAATTGGTTCTCAGAGCAGACTTATATAATTTAAAAAATTGCTATCATTATATTTATATAATATCAAAATACCTTTCATAAAAACTTACTAATTATAAAAGGAAAAATACTAACACCATAGCCAGGTGATCAAAATTGACATCGACAGTAATAGGACAAATAAATTTCATATACTTCTTAAAAGAACACCATCTTTTGGGTGGTATTCCTGCTTCCCAAATGCATAATTTGTATCTAATCATGAGGAAGTGGCCAAATGGAAATTGAATGACATTTACAAATAACTGTATTCTTGAAAAATGTCAAGGTCATTAAAGGCAAAGAATGACAAAACTATTTCACATTAAAGAGATATAACAACTTACATGTAACATATAATATCCTGGATTGAATTATGGTGGAAAAAATTATAACACACATTTATAAGCATACTTATATTTGCACACACATATATAACTATAAAGGACAGGAGTGAGGCAATGAGCAGAATTTATGTAAATTCTGTGAAGTAACTACTTCATCAGTGCAATTTTCTTCTTTTGATAATTGGCCTGTGGTTATATAAGAGAAGAGAATATCTTTGTTTTTAAGAAACACATTGAAGTATTTAGCAGTAAATGGAATTATGTATGCAATTTATGCTCAAATGGGTCAGAAAAAACAGATTGATAAAGCAAACATTATAAGATGTTAACATTTGGAGAGTATGCATGAAATTTACAGAAATTCTATTGGCTATATTCTTCCTCCTTTATGTATGAATTATTTCAGAATGAAAAAGTTTTATATATGGAGATGATCCTATCTGCTGGCTGTATCTTAAAAATTGGAAGAAAGTGGAAGTGTCCTCCTTTTCACCGGCTCCAGGTGCAGGGGAATTTGGTCACTGATTTAGGAACATGTTAAATAACAGCATGTGCTGAGTGGATCCTATTTCAAGGCTTCTGTCCCTCACCATGACCTTATTGCACTTGCTTATGCATTCACTCATTCCTTTATCCAACAAATAGAATTTAACATTTACCATGTGCCAGGCTCTATGATGGATGCTGGAATTATAATAGTGAATGAGATAGACAATCTGGGGAATAGCAACAGACATAAAACAGAAGACTTATATATAACCTCGGATTTTGATAAGCCTGGTAGAGATGAAACACAAGTCAGGGTATGACAGAAGAGCCCATTTAACCTGAGGGATCAGAGAAAGACTTTGAAGAATGTCTTTCAGGCTAAACATAATGATCTAGAAGGGTGTCAGGGTGCAGGGGTGGGCAATAGGGGAAACCTTCACAGTGAAGTAGCCTGTGCAAAGGTTCTAAAGCAGGGGAAA